GGCTGAGCTTCCTCAGGCCACATCAGGAGTAGCAGCTGTGTGCGGGACGCTATGGATGAGGCTTACTTTCTCTCTTCCATTATGTCCCCATGAAGCCGGTATGAACAGGCTGACCATGTTCTTTTACTTTCCCTTGTTTCAACTTATATAACACAAATTTTTCTGATGAGGTGATACTTGGTTAAAAATTTCAGAGTGGGGTAGGGGAGGTTGGAGAGGAAGGGGAGGGATGGGAGGGTGCTTAGCAGTAGAACACTTGCCTGGTATATACAAGGCCCAGTATTTGATTCCAAACACCACAAAACACAAATAACCAAACCAAAATCCTTGCTGATGCTTTTCAGCTACTTGGAAGAATACTTACAAGGAAGCTGGTAAGAGCTGTTGGAGGATGTCTTAGGCCTTTGGGTTAAGAAAGAGACCAGGTACCAGTAAGATGGCTCAAGGGCCACTTACTACCAAGACTGAGTTCAGTCTCCAGGTCCAGTCTCCAGTGGTGGAAGGTGAGAATGCAAATTGTTTTCTTATCTCTACACACGGACCATGGAGTGAGCCCACTAAGTTGAACTGCTGATTGATTCTGTCAAATTCTGTCCTTTTCTATTCTCCCCTCTTGTCTTTCTAACAATGGGAGAAGAAGATGGGTGTCTCCATTTGGTTTTTCTAAACTTAGCGTATTAAATCATATGCTTAATATATAAATATAAAAGGTCATCAGTAATTTGGTGACATGTAAAGTGTGCTGTATGCCTCCAAGTTCTGACTGACAGGGTCAGAAGACTATTAAATGACTTTATCTTTTCGATGACAGTTGTCCCTCAGTATCTGGAGGGGATTAGTTCTAGGATCCTCTTGACATACCCAAATACGCCCATGCTCAGGTCTCTCCTGTAAAACACCATAGCATCGCATAGATGCTACACATTCCTTCCTGCAGATCATCTCTGCATAAGGCTCTAGAAACACCTATTGTAACATGTTTGGTCCTCATGTAAGCAATACTCCAAATACCTTCAGTCTGTCATTAGTTAGATGTGTGTCCACAGAACCCGTGGGCATGATATTTATTTATTTATTTATTTATTTATTTATTTATTTATTTTTGTTTTTTTTCGAGACAGGGTTTCTTTGTGTAGCCCTGGCTGTCCTGGAACTCACTCTGTAGGCCAGGCTAGCCTCAAACTCTCAAACTCAGAAATCTGCCTGCCTCTGCCTCCCAAGTGCTGGGATTAAAGGCGTGCGCCACCACTGCCCGGCTATTATTTATTTTTTACTTATTCAGGCATCAAGTGGAGCAAAGCAATAATTTTAAAAGTCACCTTTTAAAAGTCATCTGTAATGATGGAAACAAAAAATACACCTGGAGCTTAAGTTCTAGAGAAACCATTTGTGCCTGCCCATTTTGGGCCACTGCTTAGCCTTGACCATGACCTCCCGTCTGGCCTTGTTTGTGTTTCAGAGCTGGTTCTGAAGACATCCTTGTGATGACCATTTTGTCCAAGGGGATATATACAGGGTACTTTGAGGGTATGAGGTGATTGTAGCTGGACACTTTTATGAAGGCTTCATCTTTGACCTCTTGGTGATTTTCTTATTGCCTATGTATCTGCCAATCTGGTGAGCATGGCAGTCAGTTCCAGCTACCAGAGCCTGGCTATTGGGAGAGTCTGAGGTGTTGTCCTTTAATGTTCTTCTCAACAATAGTGTTACATCTGGAGCAGAGCCTAGCAAGCATCATGTTCCCTGATTGCACGAACTTTCCCATTTGGACAGCAGAAAGGTGCCCAGCAGAAAGGATTTAAAGTTTTTAGTTTTAAAATAGCTAGCTAGAAAGGTATTGATTTTAAAGGTTTCAACTGAGAAGTGATAAAACCAGAGGTAGAATGTCATCTTTCCTCCCTTCACCAGGAGCAGCCTTAGCCACACACTTCTGCCCAGATCGTGTTTGTGGAGTGGGATGTGCTGGGTGTGTCATTTCTAGCCATGGGCAGACATGACTGCATGATCTCCACCCTGATCGTGAGGGCAGAAGGGGCTGCACTTCTCATGGAGCTCAGAGAGAGGAAGGGAGGATATTTAAGAAGACAAATTTTCTTGTAGTGAAAATGTAAAATTGAGACTAGCTTTCCTCTTAGCATTTCTGAAATAAGGGGGTGCTTCTAGTTAATTCAAGAACTCGTGGGCTAGGAGGTTTGTTTTTACTTTACCGTGTTTGGAAATGCTCCCTCAGTTGAGACAGAAAGCATTATGGCTATCCCTTCTGACTCATGGATGCACATATGCAGGTCCAACTCTCTGTGGATTGAAAACCCTCAACACACACATTACTGTTGCCTTTATTCCCTAAACCAGGGCTTTAAACTTTTCCCACTCATGAATGCCCTGTGTGTGTGTGTATAAATATATAGATCTATATCTATATATGTATCTCACAAAGAAAATTTAAAACAATTCTTTAGCCTATATGTAAAGATGAAATATGCAAAGATGAGGTATTATTAGCAAGTATTTGATTTGTGTACCTAATGTGATATATATATATATATATATATATATATATATATATATGTCTTTGCATGCTAGTGAGGTGGGTGTGCTCACTTACATTTAAACCTTGGTGGAATATTTGATGCACAGATATAGACCACTTTCAGAGGTGATCAAGATTTTGACTTTATAGCATCAGCACTAAGGACATTGCTTAACATAAATACACAGTACAAAATGTCAGAAGTATGTTTAGATATTTTAGAAATTGTTGGAAGTTCTATGCTAATCTCAACCCAAAATGTATCTTTTAATAAAACACAAGTCAGCAACTCAGGTTTTATGAAACTCAAATAATTTTTTAAAATAAAACATTCTAACGTAATACAATCCAAAGATGTTCTAATTTGAAAAACTTACATGTTAAAGTGGAAAATATTAAAGTTTTTTTGTTTCTCATAATTAAATGATTTTGTTTTTACAAGAGTAGAAAAGTTTTTATGCATGGTGAAAACATTACAGTTCATCGATTTAAGAGTCTCCAGTCTGAGCTGAGGTGCTTTAGGCGATGCTGGATGGCTCTGTGTAACTAACAGCATGATGTTGTTCAGAGCAAGGCCGTAGTGAGTCCTGTGACGTGACATGGGACTGTGCTGCCAGAAGCACCTCATGCTCAGTCTGAATTTGAGTTTGAATTAGTTTTGGTTGTTCCACGTGTGGAGACCTTTTACAGTTGTCACTTCTCTTTGTGACCTGCACATCCATTTGCATTATCCCATATGGAACCACATCTCACGGTTTAGGAAGCTATGTCCTCGAGAATGCTGCACAGCTACGTACGATGTATTTATTCAGTATTAGCTATCATTAGTTATCTAGGATAATTTAAAGTCCTCGGGAGGATGTGGAGGCTCTATGCAAACACACTACCTTTACGTAAGGGGACTTGGACATCCACAGATTTTGTGGGACGTCTTGAAGCCAATCCTTTGGGTAATGGACATATTAAAATGTGCACTGAAAATGGTCTGCTTTAGTATTCTCCCAGGAATTGGATTTTGCTTGTTTGATTGATTGATTTCCAAGATAGGGTTTCTCTGTGTATCCTTGGTTGTCCTTGAACTTACTCTCTAGACGAGGCTGGATTTGAACTCAGAGATCCTTTGGCCTATGCCTACTGAGTGCTAGGATTATAGATGTGCACTGCCTTTGCCAGCTCTCCCAGGGATTTAAAAAATTTCTATTATGTAAAATTTGAGGTCAGAATTTTAAAGGGAAGAGGCTTATATTACCCAGAGGTTAAAGACATGCCTCAGGCGAGTGCATGCATACTGAAACTTGATTGTGAAGGCTTTAGAATGTAATCCATGCAACAGGATGCTCCAAGGTCACTCACTGTTAACACTGTAAATGTCACTGGATATAGCAAATACTGTGTAAAAAATCTGTTAACAATGAGATACTTCTTAGAGCCTCCACTTGGGCAAACACCTTTCATGGAGGTCACCATCCAAGTGTTCTGGCAAACATGAGAGTGGTCAGTGGATCACTTGTCTTTTGGGTATAGTGACTGGCATGTGGAAGACACTCATTAAAACATATCTGGCCGTTGTCAGCAGATTGATTTTTATGTTAAATTTTGTATTCATCAAGGTGCTGCCTTTTTCTTCACTTTATCATTGACATTTCTACTTTGCATAGCTAGATCATGGAAAAACTAATGAATATTATCTAGAAAAAAATCAATTTTTTCATATCCCTCAAGTTGTTTAGAATCTTTTGTGCTTTAGCTATCTTGAATAAGAAAGTCAAATGTCATTAACTTAATAGAATTAAACAGTTTTTGCAAAGTGTATCAAAGTAAAGATGGATTCTTGTTTTCATTTTCGTTAGTGGATACATACATAAAATTTATTTGATAGTGAAAGTGTAAAATCCAGTGTGAAGCCGGACAGCTTCCATTCTGACAGTAAATCTAACTATATAGAAGGCCAACGAATCATATAGGTTTTGGTTATTGTTAATTTCCATGTGTGACTTTTTTTTGCTTGCAACTTTCTTAAATAATAAAGTTTAAAATAAAAAAATGATTTTATTGGGCTTATATGGCGCAAATATCCTTGATTTGGAATTCTGAACTGTGAAATGTCCCCATATTTAAACATTTTTTTTTCAGCACTAATATGATGTCACAAGTGGAAAATTCCATATTATGGGCATTTTAATGAAAACATATGATGCAAGATTACCTTCAGGCTATTCGTAGAAGGTATATTTGAAACATAAGTGAATTTTGTGTTTAGATATGGGTCCCATATCCCAGATATCTCACTATGCAAATGCCAATGTTCCAAAAATTGAAAAAAGTAGTTTAAGACTATTCTGGTGCAAAGATTTTTGAATAATGGGGACTCAACTTGTGTGTAACAATGGAGACTATTGCTTTTTAATGAAGCAGCTACATTTTGCATCGTATTTATTTCCTTTCTTCTTCTTCTTTTTGTTTTTTACAGGAAAAACTAACACAGGAGTGTGTGTTCAGAGAACAGTTTGAAGAGAACTGGTACAACACCTACTCTTCCAACCTGTATAAACACGTGGACACCGGAAGGAGATACTATGTTGCATTAAATAAGGATGGGACTCCAAGAGAAGGGACCAGGACTAAACGGCACCAGAAATTTACACATTTTTTACCCAGACCAGTGGACCCTGACAAAGTACCTGAACTATATAAGGATATTCTAAGCCAAAGTTGACAAAGACAGTGTCTTCACTTGAGCCCTTAAAACATAACCACTATAAATGCTTTCATGCAGTGGGTTCTTATTGATTAGCAGTGCCGTCACCTCAGCTCCACTGTTGCCAAACTTTGTCGCATGCATATGTATGATGGAAGCTTGGATGAGGACTTGCCGATTTGCTCTGCACTTACTGGCTGGTCCTCCTGGAGGGCTGCCTAGGGCCACTTGCTTGATTTATTGTGAAAGCAGGGGAGAGAGGGTGCGAGTGCATGAGTGAGTAGCGGGGGACTGCAGCGCGCCACGAGGACAACGGCCTGATGCATGCTGGGAAATAGACACGCTTTTACATTTTGATCAGTTGAACTTCATCCTATATCAGCACAGCTGCCATACTTCAACTCATCAGGATTTTTGGCTGGTGGCCTGCTCAAGGGAACACTGCCTTTCCACAGACGTGGAGAGTGCAGTCTCACTTAAAGACTATCAGTTCATTCTCGCTGGTATCATAGCCCAGTGAATTTAAAGCAAAGACCTCTTAGTTTAAAAGGAAAAAAAAAAAGGAAGAAAAAAAGAAAAGAAAAAAAGAAAAAAAAACAAGAAAAAAGAAAAAAGAAAAAAGGTTAAATTTATTTATAGAAATTCCAAAGGCAACATTTTATTTATTTTATATATTTATTTATTATATAGAGTTTATTTTTAATGAAATATGTACAGGCCAGATAGGCATTTTGGAAGCTTTAGGCTCTGTAGGTATTAAATGGCAAAGTCTGCTATGAACCTGTGGTAACTTCATGCAAGTAGGTATATGAGAAATTCTAATGGCCCTAATGTACTAAAGGCGACAATCTATTTTGTGCCCATATTATTGTAACTTCCGCACATCGCTCATGACACTGAGGTTTCACTCTTCAGACTGCTTGTTTCATAGCTTATCCCAGAGGATTAAAGATAAACTGGGTTTCAACCCTTCATTTCGTGTCTGTAATTTTCCTCTCTCGTAACTCAGTCTCTCAGTGTAACTGGGTGGTTGGAACATATGAGGGTTGGTGTATGTCTTACTTGTTTTAATCTATTGCAGAGTGTACCAAAGCTAAGCAGTGACTATGCTTTTTAATTTCAGCCCACTTCCGTGACAGCAGGGCTAACATCAAACGTGGCACTGATTAAAAATTCCTAAGGGAGAGGAAAAGCCCTTTACGTAGCTCTTCCACCTCCTCCTCTTCTTTCCTTTTTCTTCTTTTCTTCTTTTTCTTTTCCTGAGGCAAACGTCAGATGAACAGGATCATTCTTGTAAACGTTTTATTTGTATCTTGGCTATCAAATATGGAATTATACAAGGACCCTAGGGCTCACTAAAACATCTTTTGTGGAGATTGCATTTGGTGTGAACTGTCATAATTACATGGGGCTAGTACCCTTCAAGTAAAACTTGCAACATGAAAATAATAAATGTTTATCAGTAATGACGTTAGAGGGGTACTGTACTCATTGCCTGTGCTTTATTTCCGGATCGGTCTTCAGTAGTGCTCAGAGAAGTGGGTACTATGTAGAACACTGTTTGCAAAACCTTTTATAACATTATATGCCGAAAAGCTCAAGAATACACACTTATTTGATAGCCAAAATTCTCCACTGGGCAAGGGAAACCATTTATCTCTCACTATATACTAAGGTGACAAGAGCCAAATTCTTGAAGCAATATTTAAGAAAAGAAATCTATAACACATTCTCGCTTTCTAGCCAGTTAACTTGGGGAAATTGAAAGTAACAGCTAAAAAATGTGTTTGAGTTTGTGCAGCTAAAGTTAAGATGCAGTGTTCTGGCTTTGTTTTGTTTGGATGCACATTCTCGTTGGGAAACGAAAGCATGTCACTGGCAAGCAATAGCTGTTGTGGTCTAGAAATGCCTGCCTTCCTGTCCTGAGCAAATCCATGTAGCTCTCTTATGGTCCAAGCTGGAGCGTGTGATGATGGACTGTGCTGATGAGCATTAGGGAGGGGCTTGTATTTGGAAGTGAAAGATGTCACAGAGAGAGGAGCCAGACGCTCTGTGAAACAGTCGGTAGGATAAAGATCAGAACATACTCCTTATGTGTGCTCGTTGGATCCCCCTTTCACTTTCTAAACAGGAGCTGCAGTGTTTTGAGCAGTGTTTTTATTTGTTATTTAACACTTTGCTGCTAAAATGTACACATACTCAGATTTCCGTTTATCCAAAAGAACTTTTTTTTTTTCTGAAAAGATTCAACATTTGGCCACAGGAAAGAATTAGGTTGGTAGGACGTCATAGCTATAATATCTGAAGAAATTGATTTTAAGAGACAGCCAGTAATAATCATAAAATATCAGGGGTTTGAGAAAATCAGCCTAGAAGAATAAAAAAGAATTATGGAAAAACTAAAAATTTCATATATTCCCAGAAAATGCTACTTTAATGTCTATTTTCGGACTTTGTTTTGGTACTTTTTTTTCTTTTCTTTTCTGAGAAGCAAAATGTCTGCTTTTGGTAACCAGTACAATAAACTGTAATGGTCTGTAAATAAATAAATATGGATGTATGCGATTTATGTAAATAGGCAGTCTGGGAGAGAAGACGGCTCAGGGTTTCTGTATATCACCCTGGGAAGTGGATGATTCCCAGCTCTTGGGTTTGCATCAGGTTCAGTTCCTGCTCTAAGAGGTGCAAAGCCTGTTGGATGGCAGCCCCACTCCACTGTGGGCTGGGTGATTCCAGCTCAGAAGCAGATGCTCAGATAGCCAAACCACTCTTTTGTTGGTGCCAACACTGGCATCATGGCCAAAGACTTAGCTAGGGTGGACTGAACCACCTTCCCATCTGTCATGCAAATATCCCTAAGCAGTGTTGAAGGACATGCCAGGTCAGTGTTGGAACCTGCCCTGCCAGGTCCTGTTTTGTAGATAAAAGAATGGCTTCAATTGGTGGTATTTTCCTGGTTTCATCTCATTAATACCGCAATATTGTGTCACTTACTTAATAATCTGTAATCGAATGTAAATACATGCGGGATTATGTACGTTGTGTAAATACATAATTACAGACTTTGGAAAACTGGTAGTTTTTACTTGATGTCCATTTTGGAGGTGCTTCAGATTCTTTGCCTGTGTGAACCAGCGGAATGTAAAACGTAGTCTCTGCCTTTATAGCTTGCCCATGCATTGAAAATGAACTGAAGGTCTGGGGGAGCAGGGGGACCATGGAGGAAAAACGTATTCACTTGTTTCCTCCTCCTCCTGTGAGCATTTGATGAAACAGCCAGGAATCTTCTGGGATGAAGAGTAATGAACTTGGAGCGAGCACAGGCAGTGTGTTTGCACAAGGTTTTTTCTTTTTCTTTTTTGTGGACGGACGAATGGACAATGGTGACTGTCCAAGCTCAGAGTCTGTTTGCTGCATCAATTGACCTTGAAATGTGCCAAATTTAGATGCACAGTCTGTGGTCATGTGCACGCAAGAGCAATGAAGTGGTGGTGGTGGGGGCAAAGTGCCAGCTGAATTCAAAGGATGTGTGAGCCACCCAGGCCCCCTCCAGTGTGTGTGTGTGCCTGTGTGGTCTACACATCTGCAGACTGGAATGGGGGGAATTATAACAATACACTGTCCTTCTTTAGGATACAACCCAAAATCCAGTGACTCAGGTTTGTAGAAAATGGATCCTGATCACAGAAATTTGGTTAAAAATGTCTGAACAGAATCTCAAAACTGAGATTTACACCCCTGCCCCACTTAACAAACAAAACGAAAAACCTTCTAGTATGCTTCTGTGCTTGCCCTTAGGTCCTTAGAAAAATGTTTGATGACGCAACCTAATCCCGTTAGAAAAGAAGCTACAGAAATTGAAAAAAAAAAAAAAAGATGCTGCCATTTTTTGTCTTTGGGAACAAAGTGTCGTTGGTAAGTGCCTGAATGAGTTATCATCCACTAGAGTGGCTGTCAGGTCTCGAGACAGCTGTGTCACACCACTCTCAGGTCAGACAAATGTTGGTGTGGCTTCTTGGCTATTTTGGTTAGTAGCAAGGACATTCTAAGTATTCCTTTTGCTCTCCCTCAGTGTCTCAGCTGGTATTATGAAAAGAATTCTTAAAATTTAATTAAAATTAGGAATACTTATATCTGAATATATGAATAGGAATACCTGAAAAACTAATGGCAAAGAGAGGTTAGAGTTGGCCTTTGTCCCCTGTATTCCCCTGACATCTTTTAAAATAAGTTTGTGTTTATGGTTGGTTCCCATTGCTGTATGTGCACTTAGGCAGAAAAATTAGCCAGCAGGAGCTGAGGAGCTGAAGCAATAGGTTGTATAAAGAAAGGAGCTAGAACTCAGGGGCTGGTTGTCTTCCTCACACAGGGAAGGACTAGCTTTATTGATAATGCTCCTGACTTAACTTGCAGACACCTATTTTTTGAACATTTATGCAGGCTTTTTCATAACCATTTTACTGAGATGTTGCAAAACATTCTGTAGGCTCCACCTGGCCACTGCCTCTGGCTTCTAGCCCAGACATATGCACAGGGCTGTAAATGACAGCTTTGTGTGAGTTCTCCTGCTTACTACTAGGGGCTTTTCTGGCCTGTGAGGCTGGTAGCACTGCTCTTTCAGAGGCAAGCAATATTCCAAATGTTCCAGGACTGTATAGCTGACAAACTCTTTCTCCTGCCATTTTTCCCTCCCATTTTTCCCCTACTCCTATCTCTCCGTCTTGTGGAGGGGGCACCAGTGGTAAAAAGAAAAATTGCTGATGGTACCACAGAGACTAAATCAGAATTTGCCACGGTGTAGTGTAGTGTGAGTCCCCAGATAAGGAAGACTCAGGGCTGTGAAAATTAAATTTCCTGTTGCATTGGCTTAATACGATAGGAAGAATACGGCACAATCTTTTTTTTTTGTATTTTTTATTTGATATTTTATTTATTTACATTTCAGATGTCATCCCCCTTCCCCATTCCCCCCACCCATTAATCCCCTATCCCATCCCTCCTCCTCCTTTTTTGCCTTTATACTGTTTAAATTACAAGCAAGTATTAAGGTCAGTTCTAGGTTGAGGAACTAGCAATACAATAAATGTAAATAGTCCAGGAACAAGGAAGACAATAAACCCAGATAATCAAAGAACATGTATGACAATAAACAGAGTCCTGTGATCACTATTTCTGAGGGCTTAATGGGATGATCAAAATATCTGAGCATACTTCCCTGTCCTAGCCCAAAGTCATTTTCATGCCTGAAGCCTACTTCTTTGTTCTAGCTTAAGATTTAGATTTCT